AAACAAAACAAAACCCGGAAATGTGTTCCATTAAAAAGCTTGGATGATGTCTAGTGTCATTTACTTTATATCAATTACTTAAAAGAAATTCTTGGAAAATTTTTATCATTGAACTCTTCCAGGAGTAGATGACTTTTATAGCTGGTTTAGGTAGCTCTGGTGGCATAGTGGTAAAGAGCTACACTGTCAACTCAAAGGTACATGGCTTGAATCTACCAACTGCTCCCCAGGAAAAAGATGAGCCATCTCCTCCCATGCAATGTATAGCTTCTAAAAAAATCCACTGGAGGGTCAGCACTAAGTTGGTCCTGACTTGATGGCACATAACAATAACAACCAACATAGCTGGTTTAAGAGAGCCCTGATAGTATTGTGGATGAAAACAGCATAGTAGCAGTATAAAAAATGAAGGGGTTTTGATGGGTTTGTTTTTAAAAACACACAAAAAAATGATTCCTGAATTCTTTGAATAATACAATTATTAAAAAATGAAATGGAAAAGATGAGGCATTCTGATTCTATAAATACTGAAAGCAGGGCAACTAGATGGACAGTTCTACCCTTGTCCGATACGGTCACTGTGAGTTAGATGAAAGTGATGGCAGGTGCTTTGGTTTGGTTTGGGATAGCTAGCTTAAGGGTCTATTATTTGAACCACCAAATAGGTCTATGGTTCCATCAGTGAAGACATGTTCACTTCACTTGAGTGAATGAGAGATTTGGTTATGGTTCTCTTTCACATTATATTTCTCTCTAGCAATCATATACTTCATAACTAAGATGAATAGGATACATGTGACTTAGATGCAACATGGCAAGTAAGGCTACATCCTGGTCTACATGTAAAAAGGCCAAGTGAACTTTCAAAGGTGTGATGAAATCCTCCAATGTGTCGGGCATGTTTACTAAGCAAGGTTCTGATGCTACTTAATAAGAATAAATAATAAATAAATAAATAAGAATATTTATTTCCATTTGGATAAAATTGCTGATCTATATCTACTTTATATCCTTACTGCATAGACTTCCTTTTTCAATCTTTACAGAAGTAAAATTTACCTGATGTTCCATCCTAATGTATGGTCTTAGTAACATGTCTGAATCATCAACTGACATATGTGAATACAGTACTATATATAGCTTACAAAGAACCCAGTTATACACATGACAGTTCGATTTACATATTTTCAAGTGTGCTTTTTACACCACTTAAGTATAAATAGTACCATCTGGCCTGTCTATTTATGATTCATAAATTCTGCTTCATTTCACAGTCATTTTCTAAGTCAGTTTAAATTAGTAGGTTTACATAACTGACTATACTTCGAATAATTTAAAATCTGTAGTGATTTTTCTTACCATATTTCTTTTTTTCCTCTCAAAAAAGCAGATATTTAAAAAAAAACAAAACAACAAACAAAGACCCTTCAAATTGTAAACACCCTTCATTGTGTTTCCAAGGGTGTAACTGCATGGGAAAAGACTACCCATCATTTTTCCACAGAGGTACAAAGGAAGTACAGCCTTTGGGTTATTACTTAATAATAATATTTACTGTCATGTTATTGTTATGTACCTTCACAATGGAACCAAATGATAGCTGACCTGCCAGTGAGTTTTCAGAAGCAGTTAATGTTACAGGAGGAGACTGCCCATTGTTTTCCTGTGAGCAGCTGATAGATTTGAACTGATGCCTTTTGCTTGGCAACACAGCTCCTTACTACTAAGCTAACAGAGCTTCCAATAATATTTATTAAGTAACAATTAATTAGGGAGCTCTGACAGTGTAGTAGGTAGGAAGTTACACTGCTAGTCCAGAGGTGGTGCTTCTCTGGCAATTCAAATCCACCAGCAGACCCATGGGAGAAAGACAGGCAATCTCCTCGTGCATAACTTACAGCCTTGGAAAACCACTAGAAGGTCAGTTATGAGTCAGTTTCTACTCAATGGCAATAAGCTTTAATTTTTAACAATTATTTAACAATATTATGTCCACCTGTAAAGTTATAAAGCAAACAGTTTCTCTTTGATACAGTAGCTGGAACAAATTATTAATTAATAATTACAATATCTAAGAAAAATACAAAGAATGTATGGTAAAAACATATCTCTTTATATATAATTAAATGGGATTCAACATCAAAAAGAAACACACTATAGGTACAGACTTCTATTATGAATAAATCTCAAAAACAACACACAGGAAGAGAAAGTAGACATAAGAAACCATTTTACATGATTCCATTCATGTGAAATGTTAAGAACAAGCAGTTACATAAAGATTGAAAGCAGATTACTAGTTGTAAGGGAAAGATTAAAAGTAAATGTTCAGGAGCTGTTTTACCAGAGAGGAAGACGTTTAAAAATGATTTATGGGGAGGGCTGTAAAACTTGGGAAATTTACTAAAATGCCATCAAATTCTACATTTAGAATGAATCAAGTTTATTATATATAAAATGGAACCCAATAAAAAAATATTTATTTGAATTAAAGAAAAAGAATATATGGCAAAAACAAAGAAACCATTACCATGCATACATAAAAGTTGTAACAATGAAGGAAAAAGGAAGATGGAGAATATCATAGGCTTCATCCTAGACCAGAACTAGATGGTACCTTGATACCACTAATGACTACTCTGACTGGGATTACAACAGTAGGTACCATGTAGAGTGAGCTGGGAAAGGAGAACAAATTTTAAATCAGAAAAAAGACTAGATGTACTGATTTTATAGAGATTGAAAGAACTCTCAAGACTACGATTTAATATCCTTCTCATTTGGAACTTTCAACACTCTTGGAGATCACCTTTCAGCATATAAAAGACAGGTCTATAAAGTAAACACCACCTGGGAAGAAACTGCTCCTCAGAATTATGATCAATAAAAGAACAAAAGGTGCAAATAAAAGAACACAGACCCACTATGGGAACTGATCTCAACTTCACAAAAAAAATATGTATATAAACTGTGAAGTGGAAACCAATTTACTACATAAATGTTAATCTAACCCACAATTTTAAAATCATAAAGCATAAATATACATTATCAAGATAAACAGAGAAAAATGACTAAACACAAAGAAAAAGACATGAAAATAAGAAACAGGAAACAGTATGGTTTGTGTGGGGAATTATAAATAAATAGCTCTGTGATTTGGGGGTAATAAAAGGAAGGGCATTTAAGAAAAGAAACTAGAGAAAGTGCTAACAATTATTGTAGGCAACAGGAAGCCATTGCAGAGTTCTAAACATAAGGTAAGAAACGTATGATTTAATATTTATGCTTAGATCATTTCATTAAGAAGATAATTTCATTAAAAAATCAGAGAAGAGGTAATAAGAGATGAGAAATTAAGTGAGTTCAAATCTGGCAACAGTGGTAAAAGTGACAGGAAAAAAGACAGTCAAATAGTTACAGGGTTAAATAAATAAGCAGGATAAAATGACCTAACTAGGAAGCACTGAAAATACTAAAATGTTACACATTAACAAATATGGAGAGAGAAGTACATCCCAAAATTTCTTCTAACTCTAAAATTCTAGGATCTGGA